ACATTTATTATGCCGGTCATGACAAGATAACACTCTCACGGAAAAGAAGAGATCTGAGTGTGTTATGCTGTCTCTGAATGACAACTCACAGCTTTTCTGCCTCTACTGTCAAAACAAAAAGTCTGAGAAAAAAAAAAATCTATAAAAACATTTTAAAAGATACACTACAGCTGCATATGTTAGTCACAGTATTCTCAACCACTTGCCACTTTTATAGGAATGATTAAAGCAAAGCTGATGAAATACTGGTTATTCCCTTAAGTAAGATTTGTGTTTGCCCTTGCCACTCTAAGAATAACTGGCCCCCTGAGTCTCAGAAGTGTCTTGGCCTTTCAGGGAACGAGGTCATAGTTGTAACAATGGCAGTCCAAGACGTTTCAATCACTCTCCAAGGACAGAACAACCTTTACTGAGGTGGCTCAGTGATGTACACGAGTTGTGCTCAGATGAGTTTAATCAAAATAGAAATATAGCAATGATAATTTACTCATTTGGCATTTTAAGCACTTAATATTGTTTGTTCTTTAGACTTTTTGTTTCAGTTTTAAAATAGAACAGTGAATAAGTGATAAAGCTGTGAACCCCCATCATTGTTTTAATTGGGATTTTCACGAGTTTAGAAACATGTCTAAATGAGCCTCTTTTAAAAACATAACTAGAGAGGAAAAACTAATTGAACGTGACATAAACATACAAGTTTCTAAGCTTGTTTAGAAAAAAAGCGTTCAAACTTTTTGGTTGTAAGGTCTTAACTCCAGACACTTTTATTTTGAAACTTCCTTTATTTTGAGCCTCGCAGCGAGCACACTTCACCTCGGTCAGACTGACTACAGGTGACAGACTCAGCCGGTGAAGGGTATTACACTTTCACCTTAAGTACTCATGTCCTGCTGACTGATGCAACGTTTTCCAAAAGGTTTTTTTTTTTTTTTCCTGTGCTGAATCCGAGCACACAGACTACTTCTCCGTACATCTGCATTTGAGTTGTTGCTTCCAGATGTGAAATTATCAACAAATGCCATTCGGCCTGTTCCTTTGATGCCTGTCAAACAGAACCAGAACCATGTTAGACCGATGCGTTTTTATGCAGTGGAACTTTTCCAGACAGAACTGTTTCTTAACTTCACTAGTTTCTTCTTTAAGTTTATTTTTATTTTACCTAAAAGCTTGACATTTTGGCTTTTGAGTGTTGTCAGTCGTGTGCATCTTGCAGTGCATCTTCATAAGTTACAGAATCTTCATGAAAACTTCTGTTGATTGTTGATATGGCAACATGTATGCCTACATCTTAAATGGTAATCTTCACTTGCTTTTTTGTGTGTTTGTTTGTTTGAGTATTTTTACTTAATTCAAAATGAGAACATGTCTTCTTTCCTCCATTTCAGCAGTCTCTTAAATGAGGAACACTTTGTTTCAGTGTGTTTACCTGTTGTCTGCCTTTTCAACTCTACAGAAAACCCTAGCAACTGTCGTTCACCATTGAAATATGAATGAACTCTTGAAAGTGACACACGTCGGCTATGGAAACATATAATGGACATAATGGGCATTCAGAAAAAAAGTTGTCTTGAATAAATTTTGATTTCATTAATTCATTGTCTTTTAAATTACTAAGTAAAAGGGCTAAAAAAAAAGATAAATTTGACAAATTACTTTTTTTTTTTTTAATTTAAACCTTTATTCTACCAGGAAGAAATCCATTGAGATCATCAATCTCTTTTACAAGGATGTCCTGGGCTATATACACATATGGCAACAGTCTTAAAAACAGTATCAATGCATTAAAAATAAAATATAAGTAAAAGAAACATACATCAATAAAACATAAAATACAATGTAAGTTAAGAAAATCACAAAACAGTTAAACATTACAGGTACAAGATTTGACTAAAACCTCAGACAATTTTTGTTTAAAACTAGTTAATGGAATAAAAGACTCTAACCTTGTTTTATAGCTTTTGAATCACTACTTTAGAATATTCACACTTTTGTGTATGAGTTAACTAAAGTTTTGATCTTCTGTAAGCCAATTTCATACGCATCCTTATTAAACCCAAGTTTACAATAATTTGTACAGCAGGCATTAAGAAAGAATGAAGCATTGGTATATTTTCATATACAAAGCCATTTTAGGAAAATTACCATCATATATCTGCTCCAATTTCATTTCACTACAGAACACACACAGTCTCAGGGCCAGTAGCTGGCTGAGGTTTAAGGTACTCTTTGTACGCACAGAGTCAGCAAAGATGAGTTTGTCCTATTTCGGCCCGTGGTCTTGGAACGAGCTGCAGCTTAAGTTGAGGTTATGTCTTATGTATATTTTAGGGAAAAAAAAACAAACAACAACCTTAAAATGACCCTTAACGTGACAGTGGTTCAGAGAGAGTGGCATTGTGACTCAGTTGGTAGAGCTGTTGCCTCTCAGCGAGAAGGTTGCTGGATCAAATCCGGGCTGGATACTTTTCTGGGTGGAGTTTGCATGAGACCTGTCCAGGGTGTCCATTGCCTCTCACACTGTGACTGCTGGATAAGGGCTTCAGTGACCCCCACAACCAGAAAAGAAAGAAGCTGGATGGGATGGAGTGCTCCGGAAAACTAAAACTAAAAAAACAAAACAAGTTAAAGACACATCTACTTTGCTTCATTCAATCACACAATTAAAGTTTAGAAAAATGTAAACCAATGACAATAAAAGATAAGTTAAAAAATGCACTTATATATATATATATATATATATATATATATATATATATATATATACTACAATAGGGTGGTACTTTTTACAACCATATGCACAGACAGGCAGGTCGACAGTTATGAAGACAGATGAATGATGCAACGCCTTCAGCACTGAGGGAAATGAGATCAGATGTTGACAGCTGGATGGACACATCCCTGGTCTGGCATTCAAATGTTTTCTCACATCTGCCATCACATGGCCTGTGAATGTGCACGCTCTCTTTAAACTGACCTATCTGCGGTTCCATCCTCTCTCTTATAGGCTTCAGTATACATGTGGAATATTACTGAGTTTAGCATAATATTTGCAGTGCAGCAGACTGCCTAAGATAAACGCTTCACAAGCAATAATCTTTCTGAAGACCTGAAGTCTCCAGTGTCAGACACCGTGCGAAAAATCTGCAGGCCCATTTCATAATTCATAACCCTCAGCCAGCATTTATAAATAGGGTGTAAAGTGCTGAAGCCTGGGAGAGATTATAACACATATTAATCTGCTTTCTGGATTGTCACACTCCTGTCTGTACTCCTGTTCCACTCTGAGTTTGCATACATGCATATTTCCATCAACATAGTCGGTCTCCAGTTTCCTGTTGATGCTCACGGTGTTTTATTAAAATACAAACAGAGAACTTTATATAAACTAAACCTACATTCTGTCATGGGAGTATACGGCCCTATGCGACAACCAGCCTGAGGACATCACATTATCACCCAGGAGAGGAGAACCAGTAGGTGGCAGTCGTGTCCCATTTGCCAGATCCACATGGGAGGAAACTGTCTCCTTCCTCACAGCCTAATATCCTTCTTTCTGTCTATTCCTCTATAGCTCGATGGTTTTTATTTCCTCATGTTCGCATGTGCACAAAACAAAAAGAAAGGAACCAAAAATAAATGCGTAGAAAGGCAAAATCAATTAGTAAATGTCAGAGCACTGAATGAGGCAAACGGTAGCAGCTCTACAAGTTCAGAGCAGCATGAAGAATATCTCCTTCAGTGCCTCAGTCCTGCGGCTGACGGCACACTCCATCCACCAGCAGTCACCGGCAGAGCCTCAGCTGGGGAGGGCAGCTTGTCAGTGGGAGGTAACCTACATGATGTCCCCTTCTGAACTTATCAATCCATTGTCTGTCCGTGCTGGTGAGTTTATTTGAATATACAAAGCTGAACGCACATTGCGCAGCGAACCGACGGATGGAGACCGGGTGCGCACAGTGGAGTAAAAGGTGCGCATTTATCTCGACGTTTGAAGCAGCCTTAACACACAGATTATGAGAACGGGACTGGACACAGCACGTTGTGGATGAGAACATATGCTGACGACGAAGACACCCGTGGATGGAGCGTGGGGCGGCGGGAGTCACGAGTGCCTTCAGTGAACTGTGACTGAACCAAGGCTGCGGTGCGGAGGACGCGCTGGAAGCTGAGCTGTTCCGTGTTAGTGCAGTCTGAATCCCACCCGGAATGCTTGGAATGAAGACAATCCCTGGATATGTTGTTGATATAGTCGATGTTTTCCACTAAAATGTTTTTTTTTTTTTTTTTTATGTTAATGGAGAGAAGCACAACCTGAAGCTTTTATCAATTCAACTTCTTAAATACAGGATCTCACTCACAGTTTTGCTGGACTGCTTTTATCAATGAGGGGTAAACATATATGAGGGACTTTCTATTTATTCATTATTATTTCTGCACGACGACCAACAGTCTAACAGGGACTTGGAGAAAAGTTGCATTTGAAACTGGGACGTTAGAACAACCCCACCTCTGTCCTGCTCAGGTCTAAACGACGAGGATGGAGCTCGTCTGCCTGCACACTGGCCACGTTAAGATTCTCCGCGCTCTGTGGGGTTTGGAAAGGTCACATGTTCAACTCCCGCTTTGAATTGGAGAGGAAATCAAAGCAAAAACACTTTTTTTTTTCTATATCTCCAGTTTCTTTGACTGGGAGAACCTGGACGTTGGGCATCGCTGCGCATCAGAAGAGGACTTCCAACAACTGCACTTGTGGGTGCCTCCGCTTCGCGTGCGTCCTGAAAGAAAAGGAAGTATCCAGTGCGTTAGAGGCTGTCATCACTGTGAGAGTTAAAAGCATGCCATCCGGACTCATGTGTGGATTACATATCATCTGAAAAGTGTCTGAGGAGAAACACGACGGATTTTTTTATTTTTTTTTTAATATAAAATCACCTAATTGCGGATTTTATTTTTTATTTATTTTTATTTATTTATTTATTTATTTTTGGGTTGATGCAGTTTTGGGGAGGAGGGAGTGGAAGAGGAACTGTTCAACCCCCAGACTTCGTATCTTCGTGAATAAGTAAGTTACTGTTCGTCCACAGAGCAAACAATGCATGTCTTATACTCATCTGTCCCGTTTGACATTCTTTACATGTTCCGAAGGAGGACGTTTTTAATCTTCTTCATTTACCCAGAGCGATAGGAGCCTGTGATTCCTAAGGTTTTAATACTGGAGCCTGTATATGTAAAAAAATAAATAAAAATAAAAATGTCTGTGAACTTGCGCTAATTTGAAAGACGCAGGAAAGATGTGCGCGCGCTTACTTGCTTCCTCGGCTTGCTTTGAGTTGAGCGTGCGCATACAAAGCTACACCAGATGCCACAGACAGTCAAAATGAGTTCTTGGTTGCAGTAGGAGAAAAAAAAACAAAAAAAAAAACGTGTGTTTGGAGAAGTATGATCCATGCTTGGCTGAATTCCCTTTCTTCCCTCCAGCCGCTGTTATAAATCCGTCCATACCTGCTTCTGCTCTGTAACCTACATCCAGCATGTGAAGAGATGCCATATTTAGCACGTGTCTCTTTGCTACAGTAACCTTGGAGGATCCATGTTGTGATAAATGGGAAATATTTATCACAAGAACAGAAAAGTCAAACATTGCACCCTGTCCTGAGATATATGGCTTCTAGCGAGATGTATAACCAGACCATCCATACTATTGTCTGGTTATACCCCCCCCCCCCCCCCCACACACACACACACACACACACACACACACACATCATCCTTTGCTTTTACACAAAAAGATGCTTGTTCTCTGTGGCTGACTGGACTGGGGAGGGAGCTGTCCTTCCTCTTGGTGCTGAAATAACAGATCTGCCTTCACTCTGCCTCTTCCAAGCTGGAAGTGGTTCCTGGCCCGCAAAATCTTTTGCGATGCTCAGGATGGCTGGGTCTAAATAGTGCACCAGAAAGCAACTGTTGCCATTATTCACTTTGTGCATTTGTAGGTGTGGCAGGGGCCAAATTGACTTTGAAGTCTCAAGCTGCACAATATAATTTGCATCCTCTCACTTGCTTGTAAATAAATTTAATCATTTAATGAAATAGAATAATCTTATTACTTTACATCCAGGTGTCAAATCATGTTTCCTGTTGTTTTTGTCTTTTTTTTTTTAAACTTTTACCTTGAAGTATTTTGTTAATTTTAATCTGTTTTGATGCTTAAAGTAAAAAAAAAAATGTGGCTGTGGTTCTTCAGATAAAGAATAAATCTCATCTCTCACCTGTGAAAGTGGGAAGCATGGCAGACATCATTCACCCACTGAAAGAAAAGCCCTCCATATGATGGAGTGACATCACCTTGGGGAGACAAATTAGACTGCTGATTTTATGTTTTTGTCCTGTCAGAGGCTTTAGTATGATAAATCCCCCTCACATATTCCCAAGATTGCAGTTGTTTATTGGCAACTGGTGCAGAGTGATTCATGGTAATAAGCAAAGAGACGATTCCTCCTCCCCATTTAAAACTCCTCAAACCATTCATCCCTGTGGACATTTTCTTTAAGATAGATGTGGATGTGGGTTTGAGATGCCCCATTGTTTTAAATGGGTATAGATTTGTAAAACAAATCTAGCTATTATCAAAAGCAGATGACTTTAAGTGTGATGGATATTGGATAACTTTTGCGTTATTGTTTTATTCCAAAATGCTAAGCTGACAATAATGTGTCCCTTACCCACATTTGTCATTTTAAACAGTGGAGATCACCTGAGGGCAGGTGCAGCAGAGGGACTACAGTAAATGGGACCTCCTGCTGCTCACACAAAGCATGTTTTCAACCAGTAAATGTTCCTTCTATAGACATCTGTTTTATGTCTAATTTCTTTGGCCATTGTTGTTTGACTTATCTATTGAAAATAATACTGGGCAGCCATGTCAGAAAATTAATGAACTTGTCAGCTGGAAAAGGGCACTACTGCAATGAGGTGCCAGGGTCTTGCAAAGCGACAAGCTGTATACCCATGTTCCCTTCCCACAATCCCTTTGTATTTTTTTTTTCTCATCCTTAGCCTGGGATTCACTTCAGATCAAGGCCAACACTGTGAGTCTTATAATAAAATGTTCATTTCTCAAATCGGATTAATCTCGGTAAAGCCCAGCTTAGGACACCATTATCATTCATTTCTTTCACTGCTGGAGACTTGTATCAATAATGAAGCTACCCCGACACATTTCATCTTTGCTGGGTATGAAATCTCTCGGTGGGGTTCATTTAGAGAGAAAGGAAATAGTTACAGTGATCTGCTATCGTTTCCTTTGCCTTTTACAATGGAGACTGCTTGATGATGTTGGAGGTTTGAAGGAGATAGAAGTCCAAAGTCCTAATGCTGGAACTGAAAGGACTCTTTATATATAGATGATGTTGATAGAAAGTGTGTAATGGATTGAATGATTACTCAGTTTAGATCTAAAATAACACACCTGAAACAATATAGCAGAGTTGTTCAGTTAATCATTTGCAAAGGTGTACTGTTTTGCATTAAAAATAATTCTACTGTAGTTTGAAGAACACTGTACTTGTGCCATCCAAATGGCTAAAAAGCACCACAGTAAATGTTTATTACAAGGGTATTTGTTCCACCATGCACATTTGTTTGCAGTGACAGGAGGATTTACCTCTGTGCCAAATCAAATCTAGTTAACTGAACCCTTTTTCTTGTTTTTTTTATTATTATTTTTTTAATTTAAATTGGGATTTTACAACAGGGTCCTTGTGATATATGGGATGAGAATATTTGCAAATATATGGGTGTGGAAGTCAAGACCAAAGGTGTAACAATCCGGTTTGAAGCTGTAAAGTTAATCAGGTTCAATTGCTGCTGATTCTATAGATGGATAATTAAATGTCAATTATTCATGAATATCTGCAAGAAGAGGACACTTCAAAGGTTGATTCAAAGATGCCTCCGTCAGCCAACAAGTGAGGTGTTTGATACAGGTTTGATATACTGACATCGTGTTGTAATATTGTGTTATAGACACCTACAAAACTTCACACTTTCCTAAAACTACGCCACAATGTGGTAACAGTGAGTGGCTCAACAGCTTCTTCCTAAAGTTTTAATTGGAAACATAAAATAAAAATAGCTCCACCGCTGTGGGTGATCAGCTTAATGTGACTGTTTGATACTTTTAAAGTAAGATCTATTCTCCCAATCACAGACAAGCAAATATATGGACAATACACAGACATTCAGGCATGGTGGCCTGCAGCAGTCCTAGTCATTAGTCATCTTTCCCTCTATGTTTGTTTGAATATTCTGTCAGAGGAACGAACAGCTGAGCAGGAGAATGGCCACGGTGCGTTCAAGCAGTCGATAGATTAATCAATCGGGTTCCAGCTCAGCCCATCCATCTAAAGGAATAATCTGAAAGACATCATAAAAGTGTCATTTTATCTTGCCAGAGGTCAGGGAGCATTCCCCCGACTCATAACTGGAACAGAGGTACAATTATTGAAATATACTAAAAGGTGTTTTGTGTGACAGCCCTGAGAGGTGTTTGATTGTGCTTATGTTATTTTAAATATACAGCTTTGTACAGCTAAAATATGTTTTTGCTATGACTCAGATCTTCAAAGGATTTTTTTTTTTTAATTCATCACTATCGCCTTGATTCCTTGCTTCCTGCATAAGAAGCAGCTAAGAGCACTGACCTGAATTCAGGATGCATCATTACTCACCACTTGCTTTCCATCACCCACCTTGCCTCAGCAGTGGTGTCTTTTCAACTTAGTTATCTTCGCATTTTTTTCTCTTGTGTCAGTATCTCTTTTCCCTCCTTCACTGGAATTTTGCGTGCGACTAAAATAAGAGTGACAGCAGCTGCGAAGGAACTGATGTAATGGCTCAGATAATAACAGCTTGCTTAAGAACAAGAAAAAAAAAACACACTTATTTTCCTCGCATCTTGCTCCTATACGTGCAAATACGCACACATTCACATAAATGCATGCGCATTAACAACATAATGTGTGCACTGAAGCGTTGTTCTTCCTGCCTCACAGGCAACTGGGCACTGTCTGTTTGAAGTGATACTGGCCCCAGCTAACATGTTAATTCATGCTGCTAAATTAAAAGGTTAAATGAGGTGGGAAAGGGCGGAGGGCTATCTCTGGCTTGCTCAATTTATATATATATATATATATTTTCCCCAGAATGTGCCTCGTGGAGGTGTAGATACTTAAGTAATCTTCAGGAAAAGAAAAGCCACATATAAAAAATGAGCAGTCATTGAAGGGGAAGTGAGAAAGGCAAAGTTATTCTAAAGCACGGCCTTCTCAATCTTATACTGTTGACAATAGGATTTGAAGGGAGCTGTGAGTGCTTGGTGGTCTGTGCTCTAAACACTCCAAGTTAAAATCATTTGAACTGGTGAGATACCCTCCAAACAGGTTTTTTAGTGGTCGCATAGCAACAGAGCCATGACTGGCGTATCCCTAGGCAGCTTATGTGCTGCTAGCTAAAATAGAAGTTGTCAATGGACAGAAGGCCTTAGTGACAAAACACATTTCTGTGGGCCATTTTAAATTGCACATCACAGTGTTGTAAAAATAAGTCCTGGTTGTCTAAAAGCTTAAACCTCTCATTTGATATAAAATGATTGATCAGTTAAAAAAAAAAAAAATCAAACATGTACAAGGTATATACAACTGCACAAGTGCAAAAAGCTTATATCTTTTAAGCAATCTTTTTTTTTTTTTTTTAAGAAAATCCCAGCAGCCGTGATGGATATTTGACCTGTAAGAGCCACTGGGTTTTCACTGGAAACAAAAAGCCTTTTTTTTTCATACGGTGTTTTGTTCGTAACAAATTGCACACTTTATCTTCAGGGGTTGTTGCAAAGATGTGCCTCTTGCTTTCAAAGAAACAAGTCAAAACATTTCTTTTTTTTTTTTTTTTTTTTAGATCTGCCTAATTGTCAAGATGGTTTATTCTAGTAAAAGCATGTGCAAAACGTGGGAGCAGATTTGCATAAATCTCACTGGGAAAACGGGAAGTTCTATTTTAAATACT